TTTCTCAAAGTTCAGTAACTGTTGCTTTCTTTGGATTATAATTACTATATTGTGATTCTAAAGCAGTTATGGCAATATTATGAATAGCATCTTTCCATTCTTTTTCATCAATACCACATTGTGCAAATCCAGTTGCACTTTCTGTTCCTTTAAGTAATAATTCACATTCAGAAGCAAGTGATTCACTAGCATTATTTCCTGGATTTAATCCTGTTCTATCACAAATTTTACTAAATCTTTCCATTATATCATATTTCTTTAATTGAGATTGTCCTTCTACTGGTGCTTTTGCATTATATCGAATAATATGTGGTAATAAAATACCAGCAACTCTACCATGATGAATATGGAAATGATTAGCAATTTTATATGCTAATGCATGAACAAGTCCAAGATACGCATTACCATGTGCCATACCAGCAATAGTAGAAGCATTATGTAAAACAGCACGAGCACAAGAACATCCATTATAACCATTAACTAAATTTTTAAAAATTAATTGAAGTGCTTCAAGACACATACCATTTGAGTAATCATTAGCATAAGTAGAAATATATGCTTCAATAGAATGAGATAACATATCAAATCCATTATCAGCAAATGTTCTTTTAGGTACAGTATAAGTAAATTCTGGATCAATAATAGCAACAGATGGAATTAAATTATAATGTGCAATTGGATATGTGGTATTAGTTTTTTCATCAACTAATATACAAAATGGAGAAACTTCACATCCAGTTCCTGATGTAGTTGGAACACAAATTAAACGTGCTTTTTCACCAACTTCTGGTCCATTAAAAACATTTTCTTTAATATTAACAAATTGAGTTGGTATATCTTTAATTTTAATTTCTGGATGTTCATATAACATCCACATAATTTTAGCTACACACATAACTGATCCACCTCCAATAGCAATAATATTATCTGGATTAAAAGTATTTATGACATTTAATGCTTCTGTAATAGCTTTTGTAGTTGGTTCAATTGGAACATCAATATAAATTTCAATTTCAACTTGATTTCTTCTTCTCTTTAATATCTCCATTATTCTTTCAACATATCCTAATTTATAAACCATACGATCAGAAACAATAAAAATTTTACTAAGGTCTTTAAGTTCTGCAAGATATCTAATAGAAAATGGTTCAAAGAATACTTTTGGTGGTACTTTAAACCAATGAAGATCTCCAGTAGTAGGAATTTGGAATGGTGTGGTTTCAGACATAATGAATGTTATTTTATTTATTCATTAATTTCTTATTATCCACGTCACTTTTATTTTCCTTTTCTTTCTTATTTTTTAAAAACAAATTTTATTAAAAATTTAAGGGTTTTTCCTATTTTATTTTTCTTCTTTTATCTCATATTTTCTTGTTTCGGACGATAAATCTTTTCTTTTTCAATAAAAAATTCACATTTTTCTTTTCTTCTTTCATTTCTTTTTAACTATTGTAAATGTTCTTTCAGAATGAAAGTCTTTGTTTAGAATTTAAGCACAACAATATGACACATAAATCAATATGTAACATTGAATGATAAAACACTCTTTATATTCAACATAATAATTATCACTTTTGTTATTTAAGAGAAATTACTTTTATTAACATTTACTGAGATTAAAGATAAACTGAGTTAATATTCCTATTTTACTCTTTTTTTCTTTAGTAATACCTAATTTAAGAGTGTATTTGAACCAAAATGAACTAAATTACATATTCTTTTCATAGACAATTGAACTGAGAATCTGTAAGAAATAATATCTTTATGAGTATAATAATTATAGAAAATTATTTACTAAAAATTCATAACTTTATTGTTTCGAGTATAAACAAATTTATTATTCTCTTAAACACATAATAATTATCTAAAATAATGTATAGATATTTATATTTAGTTTTTAAATAAACTTAAATTATTTTAATGGTTATCTTTGTAGGTGTTATACAACTGTTTATTATATCCTTTAACAAATTAGATCATTCATTGTATCAGAAAATATTTTAATGAAATTAATCCTATTTAATACTTTTAAATAATTATTGTAGAAGGTCAATGTTTGATTACAGTAAGACTTTAGTTAATGACTAAAAGAAAAGATAATTAACTCTCAGATTTAATAATATCACTTTGAATTCTAAATATTTTATAAATTCAATGAAATAAAATTTTAGAGGTTTGAGAAGTTGTTTATTTAGTTAATAAATACAAATTAGTATTCATTCAATCAGAAAATGTATTAATTCAAATTTGATTTGAATGACTAAATATATTCTTACTCTAATAGGATTTAATTGCTTTATATAAATTAAATTGGTTTTAGACATGATTAATTTCTAATTAATGAAACAATAAGAATGGAATGACAACATTTCAATTTCAGATAATCATTATAAAAATTGGTTATCAACAATGTAATAAGAATTTTATAAAAGAATGAACTGAGATGTTTATTTATATTGTGTTTGTATGAGAGATTTAATACTTTTACAAATTACAATAATATGTAACGTTTATTTGGATGAACATATTTTTATAAAAGTTATTTATTATTATTAATATACTTTTTGTATTCTTCAGAACACTGCTCAATGTTATAATTTAAATTAGTTATAAAAATGGATATATAGGAATACTTTATTTAATTTTTATTTCTATATCCAAGGCTTTTAGTTTTGTTGCCATTTCAATAAAACAGTTATGGATATGGTTAATTATTCAAAATTAATAAGTCTATATTTTAATAAGTTTAAAGATTGTTTCTTACTACTATATTAACTTTCTTCATTCAAAAATGTTTTATTTAGTCTACAACTTTAATAACTTATGATAATTAGATTGTAATGAAATTGATGGAAAATACAAATATAATATGAATATAAATAGATTAATAAATTACCATTTTATGTTTATGAATAACAGAGAGTTTATAGAAACTATTAGGTATGATTCAATTCAATAAGTTGTATTTAGAATTTATTAAACCAATTTAAATTAATAGAATTTTTATATTATATTTTTGTTATCCTGATAATAAAAAGAGTAGTTATAACACTTAATAAATAAAATACTTGAACATGAAGATATTTGTATTTCTTCCTATCTGAGTTAATGTAAGAATAGTATTACTGTAACAATACATTCTTTTATAAAACATAAATATTTTATTCTTCTTAATTATGAATGTTATGTATTCATAAATCAAGTTATTTCTATAATTTGTTAATTCTCTATTTTACATAATTTCTATTCAAATTGTATTTAATTTATGTTTATGATTTATTTTATGATCTCTACTTACAATCACAATCTCATTTCTTAATTCTACCTTTTATTTTATCTTATGGAATGGTTTATCATCAATTCACTCATTTATTTAATCACTGTCATTTAGATAGTTTTACTATTTCATTGATAAGTATAATATTTCAGATGATCAATACAGTATATCATTTCAAGAATCCATACAAACAAATATAAAAACATTTTTCTCTATATAATAATGATATTTAAAAATAAAGTTAATGGAGGGGATGTGATATAAGTAATGTTCATATACTAATTCTAATATGATATAAATTTGTTAACTATAATTAAAATACAATCAGTGTTATTCTTTTATAAATATTCATCACATTCTATTGTTATATGAGTTTCTAATCATTTCAATTATTTTGACTAGTTATGACTGTTATTCTTTTTAACAACTTCGTATTTTATTTGATATTTATTTTAAATTTTGGCATAGAAAATATCCTCAATTATGATATTTCACATTCATTGTTATTGGCTCTTGTTCATTTAGTGATTTTATATATAAAGTATGATATTTAGAAAGAAATCAATAATTAAATAATTTAAAATGTTTACAACCAAACAACACATGATTAAAAGAAGATAATTGAATAATGAATCATATTTAATGAATTGAAACACAACAATATTTCATTATCAAATTAAAAATAAAATAATAATAATAAATATGAATATGAATGGATGGATAAAACATAATAGTAAAATATATTCAACCAAGTATTATATAATGTATTAAATGAAATGATAATTAAATGGTGATGAATATTAAATGAGATGTGTTGTGTTTCATTAACATTCCAACTAATAAACAAGAATGAAATGGAAAAGAATATAAATTATGATTAATTGTAATTTATTTTTACTTTAAATTACAGCGTATTTCATGTGTTATAGTTTTTATTGTTTCATTCATTATTCTTTATTAAAAGCAATTTCTTGGTATTTGTTTATTCTTCTTTAACTCTTTTGCACATCCACATTTACTAAAACACCACATCCCAAATGATGTAACTGATGAAGGAATAATAATTGATGTTAATGATGAACATTGTCTAAAACAACAAAGTCCTAATTTACTAACTGATGAAGGAATAATAATTGATTTTAATGATGAACAAGTGTCAAAACAAAACTCATCTAATTCATTAATAGTTGTTGGTATAGTAAATTCGTTAACATCTTTCTTTTCAACTCTTTTTCCATTGATTATTTGTAGATTTTCTGGTATTTTAATACTAACTAACACTGGTTCATTCATAAATATTCTTTCTTCACTAATAAATTGTAGATTGTCTATATTAATTGATGTCAGTGATGTGTTGTCTCTAAAACAATCAAATCCTATTTTAGTTATTGTTGTTGGTATATTGATTGCTTTTAATGATTGACAATTTTCAAAACAACGAACATGTAATTCACTGATTGTAGATGGTAAAAGAATTGATTTTAATAATGAACAAGTATCAAAACAAAACTCATCTAATTCATTAATAGTTGTTGGAATAATAAATTCATTAATGTCTTTCTTTTCAACTCTTGTTTTATTTATCAATTGTAGATTTTCTGGTATTTTAATACTAACTAACACTGGTTCATTCATAAATATTCTTTCTTCACAAACAAATTGTAGCTTATCTATAGTAATTGACTTTAATGACTTACATCCTTTAAAACAATCAAATCCTATTTTAGTTATTGTTGTTGGTATATTGATTGTCTTTAATGATGAACAATTTTCAAAACACCAATGCCCTATTTCTTTAATTGTTGTTGGAATCTTAATTGATTTTAATGATTTATATCCTTCAAAACAATTATTTCCAATTGATTTAACTTCTTGTGGTATTTTGTTTCCATATTTAATTCTATCATATTGTGTATATTCTATATTTTTACATATATTTCCTTGTTCTTTTTCTTTTAAATATGTTGAATAATCTATTAAATACCATATTATATATTTAAATATTCTGCCATCATTAAATGTTTTATCCTTTTTATTATAACTATGAAATGTTTCAATATTAGGAAAGAATCTTCTTGAATATTCATTTAAAGGAATTGGATTAAAATGAAATCGTTCCATATTTCCTCTATATCTTTTGACCCCCATTTCTAAATTAATAAAATCATTAATACTATCAAAATAAATTGATGTTATCATTATTTCATTACATCCTAATTTCATTTTTGATTTATTGCTTCTTATTGTATTTTCCATTCTTATTTTAATTTGAACTTCAAATATTTTTAAGATTATTATTCTGTTTTCTTCTTTTTTATTTTGAAATGTTTTATTTTGAAGTATTATTCAGAAACACAACACACTATCATTAAAATGAAATCAAAGTTTGAGTTACTAATATCTTCTGGTAAATATCCTTTTTGTTAGGACAATTCTCCATTCAACACTCCTATGATCGGTATTGGTAGTTATTTATTAAGAATTGGTAAAACAATTATTTATTATGAAAGGTTAAAGTTGAATTTGAGATATTACCAACAATTAAAATAGATTTTAATGACTATTATTGACATTAAACGAATGAGACATATCTGTAATGTTGCCAATCTACTCCTCTTAAAGCAACAATGTAAATAATAACAAGTTTTAAATTAACATTCAAATAACAATCTAAATGAATTATTTAATTTGAAAATGATTAAAAATACTTTAATTCAATCAAAAAGGACTATTAAAGAATTGATTTATTCATTTCTCAACATGATGAAATATTAATTATTAATTAAATCATATTGATTTATTATTTTCTTATGTTTAATAAAATAAACTATGAGTGTGAACATTTGAAATAAAATAAAACAAGAATAAAATCTGACCATTTTTATATTCATTATTTTATTCATTAATAGATGAAATGTTCATATTTATTTATTGATTTGATTTTATATTCTTTTTTTACTTTTTATAATTCAAAAAAATAATATTTAATAAATTAAATCATTTCAATTACAATGAATCGTTGTGGTGTGAAATTATATCCTCCACAAAGTGCATTTGGTATTTCATAATATTCAAATGACTCTTGTTTACATCGTGATTCAGTTTTATAATTTTCTTTATAAACAAAAATATCATTTCCATTTCCAAATAAAAACAAACCACTATTTGATTGATTATATAAACAAAATGCATGTTCTGGTTCTTTAGTATCAAATTTCATCATTCCTTGTAATCTTCCATTTGATTCTAATAAAAATACAAATGAATTTGGATCTTTTATAAAATCACCAACTTTATTAATTTTCTCGTTAACATATCCTCCAAATTTATTTCCATTTCTCTCTTCAATAATAATTGCTATGTGTTCTTTATTTATTATTCTTTGATCAAACACTGACGTATCACTATCCCAATCATCAATATCTGAATCAAATAGTATATTTCCTACTCTTCTTGTCGTCCATTCTTCTATTTGATAAATTTCTTCTATTCTAACCATTCTTTGTAACCTTTCTTCTTCTTCTTGTTTCTTTCTTTCTTCTTCTTTTCTTCTCTCTTCTTCTTGTTTCTTTCTTTCTTTTTCTTCGATTTTTTCCTTTCTCTTCTTTCTGTCTTCATAATCACTATATTGTGTAAACAATTCTTCTTTCTTCTTGATAGAATTTTCTTTAATTTTATTAATTTCTTCTTCGAATGGTTGAAGGTTTTTTTGAGCGTTAATTTCTTCCAAGTAAATGATTTTATCTATTAGTTCATCTTTTGCTTTAATAACTGCTTCTGAACCATCATTACATTCTTCTATTATCTTGTTCATTTTATCCTTTACTGTTTCTATTTCTTTAATTGTTTCTTGACTTTTTACTATTACTTTTCTTCTTTTTTCAACTATTACATCCATTTTATGTAATAATCCTTCTCCCCTTTCAATAGCTTGTTCATACGTTTCATTATCTTGTTTCTCAAATATTTCATTTTTAATACTTCCTAAATAATATTGATAATATTTAGTAGTATCTTCAATTAATTGTTGAATATTAGGAAGTGCTTCCACTATTTCTTTAATTAATTGGTCATTCATGAATAACTCTTCCATCTTAATTAAAATGATTGATATAATATTAAAACAAGAAGATTAAATACACAAATACACGTTTATAACCTATTTCATTTATTATTTTATCATTCAACATAATAAATCAAGCATCATTTAAGTATCATTAATTTTTTAGTTTAATTTTTAAGTTTTAAAATAATATTAATTATTTTATAATAAAATCAAGAAGTTAGAAGAAAATATTAAAGAATAGAAAGAAAGAAGAAAGAAGAATATATCACCTTATATGAAATAACGTCAAAAACACAAAGCATAAATAGAAAAGAGTTTGAGAAAGAAACAGAAAAGATGAAACACAAATATAGAAGAACATCTACTTTCAATCAATTTATGAAATTGTTAAACAAATGATGATACTTAATAATAAATATAAAATAAAAGAATGAAATATAGAAATGATGGAGAAATAAGAATAAAGATGACGTCATCTAGAATTCATTAGACAACTTTGATAAGATAAATGAAGTTAAGAAGTTAAGAGATAAATAAAAACAAATCACTGAACATCAAAAAGTGAAATTCAAACCTATGAGATTGCAGAAAAACAAGAGAAGAGTTAGCTATATACAAAAAGAAAATGAATAACAAAATCAATTAATATCAAATCATCAACAATTTATTGTTTATTTTTTATCTCAGAAATAGAGAAGAAGAAAAACAATGACACTATGATAAATACAAACCAATACTGAAACATCATCATG